GATAGCTTCACCCTCTTTATATACATCTTTTTAACGCCAAAATCAGCCAGTGATAATAATTGCGTAAAAATAGGTGTATTATTGAGTACAAACATATGTCGAATGTACCACTTCCACGGTCCTACTCTGGAAATGATGATCCATACAATGGACTCAGGACTAGGTGCGTTCCTCTAAGTCTTCCAACCAATATGACCAAGTTGCGAAAGCAAGGTCAAACAACTTCTATACCCCAAATAGTTTTTAAAAACTGTCTCGACGTTGAGTCCTCACTCATTGGCATTTAGTGGAAGATTTGGGTACATATTTAATCGGATTTGCTAGGACAAAATGAAGGCGATCTTGAACAGGGAGCCTGAATGCCTTGACAAATAAAAAACAAGTTAGACTAACTTGACTGCAAGGGTGCAACTAAGCCACTCTCAAATGCGAACTGGCGGAGTTCAAACTATCAGAATATATGGCTTTAAATTATGAATGGATGCTGGTTTTCAAAAAATCCCCTAATAAATGCAAGTTATTTTACCTTTATTCTTGCTTTAAAAAGCGGCTGGAAGGAATTTATACCCATACACCCGTGTAAACCAAAGGAGGATTGCCTTGAATTCGTGATTGTGAATTTGTGTGATGGAGTCCTCTGTACACCGACACAAGACCTCGACAAATCCGAACCCCGAGGGTGAGGCCATTGAAAATAAATAAACAGTCAGCATGCTGAATATTGGTACCGAGTGTATCACAACGAATATTACGGACAAAGCTTAGCATGGCCACATCGGAGTCAAATCGTTGTGTGCCAAGGAAATTACAGCATAAATTTAATATCAAAATTGCCCATTGGTCTCGAGTAAGATTAATTAACAAATATCTTGTGTCCGTCTTTTTAAGCCAACTAAAAGGTATGCCAGCATGAATTTGGTGTAATCGACGGCATGATGGCACAAATGGTCCACGGTTCGAAGCTGGAGCTTATCTTGTTTACTATGAGTTCATCAAGAAAACGAGTTGCGAAAAGGAGGTCAAACCACTATTCGCATAAGGATTGCTATTGGTCAATGGTGGGAGTTGGTTCGATCACGCTTACGTGAGAAGAAGTAACTGCATTTCATTTGTATTAGAATTGAGTAGGAGTTCGAGATTATTATTGGACATTGAATAATGACTTTAGTCACATTCGGTTGGTTAGGGTGATGAAGAATTGATAATGAAGCTCATCACAACGAGGTAAGTAGTCCTCACGATGAGATTGATTCCGTAATGTATCCTCTAAGCTATAATTAATGGTATATTAATAGTCTCAAAATGCTAATTAATTCAAAGAGAAATAATATTGTCGTCTCATTATAAAAATGTGATATGGAAGAGGACTAGGTTGTTTTGAAACTCACTTCTGCCCTGCTACAGACCGGCAATTATGGCAATGTGGCGTTATGGTAAAATGTTGAAATTATGTGCGGCAATGCCTAGGCTGCCGATGAGACCCAGGTAAGGCTGAAACTGCAGTCCAGCCTGGATGAGGAGACTTTTTAGAAGCAAGCCTATGTGGAAGAATGAGGCCTACTAATGCGATTGAGGGAAAATGTACTATCACTCCTTCATCACCTTAAACGACCTATGGTGACCATAACTCATACTCGAGATCTAGTGATAGTGTTGAAAACCTACTTAATTTAAAAATTAACCCATGCTGGCCCTTTGTATCCACCTTCTCTATAGGTGGAGGTAGCGGGAAGCCTAGCCTGCCAGAAACTACAATAATTTTCAGGTTGACGGCACATGTATTTAGAACCAGCTCGTTCCGGTTGCCGTAATTGAGAGACCCCTTTTGATGACATTCAAACAAATCTTCTCAAACTCCTTTATCAAGCTGCTGGTCGAATTTTCTTATAAACACATAGTTTACCACTCTATCTTCTAGGACAATACCTTAGTCATATTCAATCATAACTCAATCCATTCGTCTAAATTTTCATAGCACTAAATATATTTTATAGTCAACATTAATTATGCCTTCAAACTGTAGGTCAGCACGTAGGTGATCTAATGAATATAAGACTGAACAAGTCAATTGTCCCTAATCGTTCCACATGCCTTCCGTTTGTTTATAAAGGCTAATAGTGAGTAATGATATTTTCTTATTTGTCTTAATCACTGAACTTTCTGCGATAGCGAAGGATATTCTTTATACTTGTATAGACCTTTTACAATATGAAATTGTTTATTGTGGCACTATGGGACTAAATGTGACGCCGCCCACCATAGCTAAAAAAATGGTGCGCTTTGACTACAACCAGTGTTGATAGCTGCGAAGCATTCTGTTACCAATGAAAGGTCAGCTACGTACCGAATTTACTTGTCTATAAGTAAAAAATTACTCCGATCTACAGTATAAGTTCCTCTAGGGTTGCTGACCGTGAACCGTCTTTTGGGATGCACATATAAGCAAATTTTGCTAAAGAATTATTTAATCAACACACTTAGCAAATGGTGCCAAATGATTAATATTTATTAGTATTGGTTATTTATAGCTGTAATTGTGATTGCGTTATTATTGTAATTGTGATTGCAATTGTGACTACAATTTTTATTTTTTTTTGTTTTCGCCATTATATTTTAAAATATTAATAATAATATTATTAATTATTATAAGGTTTTATTTTGAAATGTTACGTATCGAAAGGAAAATTAGCAATTTTGTCACTAAACGTTTCTGTTTATATGAAGTAATATAATATTTATTTGTATTTGAAACAAAGAGCTAATAAAATTACTCAATAGCAGTGACTTAAATTGTGATTTTATGCAAGTAAACTCATTACAGAATGAGGCATTAAGTCAAAGAGGGTTGTCGAGTTCGACAAAACATGCATAGCTTATCTTAAATTCTCATTTATAATAGACCCTTCTGAAGACCTGAATGATCACCAAACAGGCGCCTACACGAAAATTCAGTGTAGAAAAGAAACTATGTTATGGCCTTATATTAGTTTATTGTGAAATTGGTGGGCATCAGAATAAACAGTTTCCTTTTAAAGTTTAGCTTGTGCTGGAGATTAAAATATTTTCGGATCTGATAGCGAATTCTACGCCAAGACAGACCTCTCGTTCTGTAAATAGCTTGCCGCGCTTCAGGATCTTCACTATCGGTATGGTTATTAGGGCCAGGCCCCAGCCTGGCTTGCCTTTCTTCAACGCTTGTAGCCTCTGGACTGGGAACCATTCTTTATCTACAGGGGTGGTGGCATTCTGTACGACCAACCCAGAAGATCCGACGTCTGGCTCCGGCAAGTTGGCCATTTTTCCGCGTCTTTAGGCCGATTTGTGGGCGGAAAATTTTTGAAATCCAGATAAGGTCAAACAAAGCTCAAACATCTTAACTCTCCAGGTCAACACCCGCCTCTTCTCATAAAAGAGGACATAAACTATATTTTTGCCTGGACACCTGTACTCGGTGGTGATGGTAATTAATTGGTAAAAAAGACAATAAATGTTTTATGAAAAAAACCTTTTTTAGGCTTTTAGCCAAAGCAGAGAATCTTACTTCGGATATTTCCTTTTTTAAAAAGGGAACAGAGTACATACAGATATACTTAGCTGCTCCGCTTCCACTGATTTTCAACGGAAGCCAAGCCGTAAATTACTTTTCTTTTTAAAGCACAATGACAAGATCTTCTCAAGCACCATTTTAAGGTTCCATCGTTGGTGATTCAGTTTTATCAGAAAGTCATTACCAGTGCCTTTGAGCATTTAACTCTGCCCTTGGCATGGATTTAGATTTTTGATTTCAGTCACCAGCTCGTTTACTGCTTGTCCATGCGGCAGGTCAACGGTTTATCTTTGCATAGGTCATTTAAACAGTTTCCAAGTCTTCGATAATCTAATGCTACCTGCCGATTGGAAAATGTATACGTTTAACTTCAAACACTACTTATTATTTCTTAAGTAATATTGCTGCGTTTGGTGGCATATAGCACAGAATGCGGAGTGAATTGGCTTGCCTTGAAGGTAGTCGCTACTCTTTGCCACTTGGGGCGCACGATCTGGCCTCGAACCCTTTTAGGTGGGCTAATAAACTCAGATGTGTATAAATTCGCGGTTCAGCTGGAATAAATGGACCTTTAGGGACGCATGCCATAGTGGACTTCCGTCTACACAACCATTGTAAAGGTGCCGATAATTTTGAAAACTACCAAATCTTCTTGACGCTCATTGCAGGTGAAAAGGCTTGATGGGAAATAGGCCTCTGTGAAATCTGTTAAGAGGCACTGGTCTTCCTCTGTCTGCCAAGAAGACACTCAACAACAATCCCAGGAGCCGCCGCCCTCAAAGTGGAGTCGTCTTCCGAGTGAATACTTCATCTCGGATCTGGTTTTACGATATCACTCGGCGAGACGACCAGCCATCAGGCTGTTCTAGTCGTCATGGTCTGCCGCCTTTTTGTTTCTCTCTCCGGTGTCTAGGTGCTCCATTTCCCATTTGATGCCGGAAAGCCCCGCATTCAAGTGACGGGAATTGGGACATAAATGGCTTTGCATGCATTGGCCAGGCTACGGTAACTTCAGCTTGTGTGCCACGACCTGATGATGCCACCCAACGGTCAGACGAGAAGGGATAAACAGAGCAACATACAAACAACTGTATTAGTACCACTGGCGTTGCTGGCGCCTAGAGGGAGATTTTCCCGCGATCAGTCGACATGCTACCCACCCTACCCATTTGGTTTGGTTTCTGACTCCTTTTATGGGCCGTCCTATTTAAAATGGGCCTCAGCTTTGGTCCACCTCGAATGAGTACTCACCTTGCGAGGTCATGGAATGTAGAGAAGCCTGAAACATGATAGGGTTGACCTGTACACCCCATCACTTGCCTTGGCAACAGGGTTGCCTGGCCATCTCATTTCGCCTCGCCTCGCCTCGCCCCTTGTGGCCTCTCAAACTTAGAGTTATTGCAAAGTGAATGTAAAAAGGTACGAGATTTCCTCCGCGTAACGCATGGGATTTACCATTGTCTCACCCTCCTTATTCCACCTAGCCAGGCCTCTGTACTTCTTTGCGTCCATCTCTGTTGTGTGTATGTGCCAGCTGGCCGGTTGAGTGGAGGACGCGAGACTTTCCTTTATGTCCCCGAGGTGGAAGCAAGCAACCATTGACATTCCACATTCTGAACCGGCATTCAACAATGCGTAGCTGAAGTTTAACCCACAGGCTTATTGTGAACTGGCATTCATGAGGTATCTTTTGGATATGACTCTGGTCCAGGGGCAAAGCAAGACTAGACGGCCGGCAGCCACACACACGTACACACAAACATTTGCATGGGCACAGGCTGGAGCGCAGAGTTGGGGGAGTAAATGAGTATACACAAATAATTTAATGCGTATCCACATGAGACACGTTATGGCAAAGTGCAAAAACATGTTCTCGCCTCGTCAGGCCCTGAGTATCCAGATTATGGCGAATCAGCCAGTCTGGCTCCAACATGTCTTGGAGTTGCCACAGGCAGTGAGTTGCCCTTAGTCCGAGGCTGCGTGAGGTCATGGGCACTGAACGAAGGACTGGCCCAACTACGCGCTGCATGGCTATTGCCAAGACTGAGGAAGCGCGACCGTCAAATTCTTTCCTGAACTCGTCTTGGTCAAGCCGCCAAGTTGTAGGTCAACGCCGCTGATACCGTCATGAGGACCCGTTGACCACTCGAAAAGAGGTGTATGTACCGGCCTGCCCTAATATGGTATGTATCTGTCTGTCGATTTGCGACACAAATTGGTCCAAAAATCCCGGAAGAAAGTGCTTTGGCGGCGAATGCAGGCAATCGTTTTGCCGATTCAGCAAGGCGGACCTGATATCCGCTTCTTAAAATGTTCGACGGAATTTTTTGAGGCTGAGGGGTGCTCGAGGTGTCCTAGGCCAGAGGGACTTTTAGGTATCAGGTAGAAAATGAAACGCAACTGGATTGGGTAGGTTTGCACACTTCCGGAAGATCTTGAACAAGAGCTGTTTATACCATATATGATGAAAGACTGATAGTCAAGTATATCTAAAATTATATGAATAGGCCCCAAGGCGTCATTAACCTTCATTTGGCCTTGCTACACAAAAGATATTTTGCAGTTTTGAAATCGAGGGAGTTTCATCCGTACCCCCAACAGGATTCGAAATGGAGTAGGTCAACCCAAAATTTTGATGTTGGAGTAAATTTCATTTCGTAGATATGTAGAAAAACTGGGTTTCGAAGACTCCCTTAATATGAAGTAAAAC